AGTCTCAAAGTGGGTTCCTCGTCATCGAATTTGAAATACTAAACATTTTGTTCTTGATTTTTATACCAAATATTATTACATCTTTATTCTTATGATGCAAAAATAACTAATAAAAGTAGGGTTTTTATCTCAGCAAAGGGAAAAGCCATCCAGTGATAACTGAAAATTGCCAAGTATCACATCATTAGAAAAACAAACATTTTTATCTAACTGGTGGGTGCAGGTATACAGGTAGCCATTATCAAGACCTCTAGCCTCTTATTTCAAAAAATCTTTAAGGAGACCCGGGCAGAAATGATTTCCAATCAACACAAATACCTGATAGGGGTTCATACTAAACGTTAATTCTAGTATGACATTTTACATATATATGTATACCTGTAGCTGAAATATGCCAAATTATTTCTTATATTAAAAGCACAATTTACACAAATAAACTTGAAATAATTAATTCTTGCTCCTGAAAAAAGAATAAGCATGTTCAAATATGAAAATGTTAAGAATTAAAACTGAATATTTTTTACCCTACTATTTTAAAGTATTGTACCACTTACCAGTTTAATTGATGAGTTATTTTTTATGTAAATGAGAGATATATTAAAATGAAAACTCTTTGTGACTGGTGGGAAAAAAACTGATACTTAACAGGAATTATGTTTGATATTACTCATATAAACAATTTTCAAAATACATGTATATGATTTAAATTATAAAGTTCAAAAGTATGAAATGCTAAAATGTAATTTTTTAAGCAGTTCACACATTTCCACTTCCAAGAAAATATAAAAAATATTAAAGAGCAGGGGGGCTTTCTCATAGATGTCATCACACATGCTTAGAAGTTATGAGTTCTACATATAAAATAATAATAATGTACAACAAGCTGGAACAATATAGAAGTACTAAAGAGGGAAGAGCATGTTAATATAATTAACTGGTTTTAGCTTTTACAAGTCTTAAAGACACATTTGACTGAATCAGTTTAAAACTTTCCCACAGCTTTTAAAGAAAAGGAGCATTAACAAGTCAAAGAACATCACAGAAGCAAGTGGAATTAACAAATATTGCCCAAACAAATATTCTAATAATGCAAATGAAGTTAATTGTTACTTAACATTTCCCAGACATTACTAAAATTCATATAAACTGTTATCTAACATGTCTTAGAAAAATGTTCACTCATCATTGGATTAAGAACATCGCTATGGCATAATATCTATTTTGATTTACTTGAAAAAAAAATGTTAAAGTTGATAAACTGTGGTTCTCAAACTTGTATAAGGACACAGGAATCTATGCTTGCTAAGAACAGTTGAACTTTTAAAGGATTAATATTTCTTGCACTCTAAAAGATGATATTTATCAGCAGTGTTTTCATTATTCATTATTGCTCTAAACTATGTTACCATGGTAACAAAAATAAATAAAAAAATATTTTTGTGAGAAATTATTTTACATTTTATTTTCAACACTATTTTATATAGTAATGTTAGCCAACAATATTATTCTCTTGGTTACATTCCTATTATACTTTTTTAAGGCAGTTCTACACTGGGTGAATTAAATACTCTTGAATCAGTAAAGCTACCTTGTAAGCAGTGCTCCCTCTAAGCTGCGCAGCCACAAAACAACCAATCAAGTGCCATACACTCCATTATTTCAGCCACACATATCCTCAGTAATGGTGAGGAGTCTCAACACATTGAGAGCCTTAATGACCCTTGCAGTCGACAGGCCTAAAGCCCATATAACCAATATGTAGCATTGCAAAGCGGCCTAATGATCTGATAAGGTTGATGGTCTAAAAATACCCCCCCCCCCCTCCCAAAAAATAATAAAATAAAAACTGGTAGCGCACATCTGCACATTGATACTGGTGCACATGGAAAAATTCATTCTGCACATATATTGATAAAATTAGAGGGAACACTACTTGTAAGTAAGGATTTCCTAGACTTACCTAGATAGAACACCCCCAGTTTTGTTTATGTTAACATAAATATAATATAAATATTATTTGAATATGTTAATTATATTTAACTACAGCAGTAATACAGGGATGGGCTTTTTTCAAATTTTAAGTGCATGAGAATGAAAACAATTTCAGTAAATTTTTTTTTAATGTGTATAAAATAAAAATACATCTTGCTGTTTAACTTCTAATACAGGCTGGAGAATATATGTTTTGTTTGTTAATATATTTTAATTTTGAAAGTTGGCACATTTGATTTCAATATTTTCAAATTTAACAGTTTTCATCCTCGCAAAACTTTTTCTTTGCCCAAAAGTTTATAAAGTAACAGATCACAGAATTTTACACTCTGACATCTTGAAAAATCCATTTCACATAATACAAAATACTATTTGTTACAACAAAACAAAACACACAAACAGGAAAACAGCTGCTTTTATAGTGGTAGTTACCAAACTGTGATAAAAAGATTACCATGAATTCTAATATCTTGTGAAACTGACAATTCAAAAAAAAGTTTAACAAACTTCTTGTCAAGTGGTAGACATACAAACATACAATGGCAAAAATCTTTGGCTGAGTAATGAGAGAAGTTTATGATGCAATATTTTTTATAATGGCACACCAAACAACAGTAGTGACTTGTTAAACACAAAGTAAACCAAGGGCTATACAGAAGAAACTCACAGGACATAAATCACTTGATTTACAAGTCAACTTGGGGATGAGGGCTATATCCGAGGTTTGTACGTTAGGGTTACATGATAGGTGTGCACATTTTCTTCAGTGCAGTCCTGGTCTGTTATGCCATGTGAAGATCCTACTCTTACCACAGAGCCACTTTTCCAGGAGCTTGTTTCAGGTGCCAAATCTGTGGCAAACAGTGCTCCACTACTGTGGCTTGTGGATAGTTTGCTGCCATTACCTTTTCCATTTTCTTTGTCTTGCTTGTTTTTGCTTGATGACCGTCGAATCAGTTTTTTTTCTTTACTAGAGGTTCTCCGAATTAATTGTTTTTCATTGGCACTAGAAGGAGCAGCTGCTCCAGCTACCGAGCCAGATGATAAGTATGATGTAAGTGAGGCTCGTTGTGTTTCCTCAGTTTTCAGAACCTTGAGTTGAAAAAGTTTAATTTTTTTTGTTAGTTTATTGCCAACTTTAGCAAAAAATCTTGATTAAAAACAATTTACAAAAGCATGCATTTGTATAATATTTAAAAAATGGTAACTTCATCATGATCTCATCCTGAATCCAATATTTTCATAGTCCATCAGAATAATAAACTGTGTTAACAGGTTTCTTAGCATGCTCATTCTTGTACATTTTATGTTATAATGGCAATAACGTATTTAATCACAAATATCTTTTATGTTTGAGCTTAATCTTGTAACTGATTTTGTGTATCAAATTTTTTTGCTATGTTTTAAAATTAAGTAATAAACCAACAGAATTAGCTGAAAATCCATGGAATCATTCCATTGGATTGTCCCTGTATTGAAGAAATAATGTTGACTAAAATTTTGAATTTACAAAGTGTACTTTCATGAAATGCGGCAAGTTATTTTTCAACATACACTACTGTACATACAAAATTAGATATGTTACTAAAGTATTTTTTACAAAAGATATACCTGAGATATGAGTCAAAGTACTCCCAATAAAGTAAGACATGAAGTAACAATTGAAAGAAATTTTTCCAATTAAGTATGTTGCAGTGAAAATTTGTAACACCAAAAAAAAATCATACAAAATGAGATTATATTGAGAAGAGGAAAAAAAAGAGTTTAAATAGATGAAATCATAAAATGCATTAAAGATTTATAGCAAGTAGAGCTAAAAGGAAATCCATCAAACACTAAAAAAGACATGTTGATTTTAAGAGTGCCAATGAGAACCTATGATGACATATAATGCAGTATGCACATTGTTTCATGCTGCAAACTATCATTAGTTAACAGATACTTCAGCAAAGAATGAGATAAATGCTACAGCAACATGTAAGTTCATAACAGAGAAAGGAAATAGAGAAAGAATGGGAAAAGACAGTTCTAAATCTTGGTATTGCCTTGAAAAGTAGCATAATATAATGGTAGAGGTAATGTATCATTTTTCAAACACCCTCAGATTATCTGTAGCAAATTCTTATAACATCCTTAAACCACCTTCTTTATAGTTAGATGTCTGTACTGCATGAATTATTCACATTTTTCTTAAATCACGTTTCAAGATTTACTTACGTAGACTAACAATGTACTGTAGTTTTTAAAACGACTTCCTTTTGTTTATGTTTGGAAGTCAGCTAACACTCTACAACATTGCAGAAAACTTGGCATTTCTTTATTACCATGTTTTATCCTAAAAACCTTCAGTTTGGAAAGAATATGCATTTTTAGCATGACAATCAACATGTGAAGAACTTCTCACCATTTTATCAAAATCAATGAACATCTTTCTCATCAAGTAACTCAAGTTCTAAAATATTATTATCTTTATGGTGCCTTTCATCATGTTAATAAGAAAAAACAGTTATTCCAAACTGAACAATCTGCCTACATATCCTAAAAATAAATTTTGTAAAAGTACACAAACCAGGGCATTTTGTCACATGATATACATTTATATTACATAAATTACAAACTTAAAAAGCATAAAGTTCTAAAAATGAGGGATTTGACAAATCAATGAACAAACTAAAAAAACAAACAAAAATGTTATCACTCTCAGTCATCATAAAAGTTGGAAAAGTAAGCCTTTTTATCAGATAAAAAAATTATTATTAAAATTTTGAAGTTAAAATGTAAGTGAGAATTTAAGCATTGTATGAATAATTAGCTTAACAATAGGTTTAATATTATTCCGCTGTTATTCAATTAATAATACCTTTAATAAGCACCTTCTTTGTGTCAAATTAACCTTTTTTATATAATTTCTGTTTACTTTTTATTCAAGAGCTATAATCCAGTGTGCTACCAACCACCTGTAAGTTTCACATGATTTCAAAATACATTTGCTCACCTTGGCAGCACCAGCAGTGATTTCTTCCACTTCTAGAGGCACAGGAACAGGTGTTGGGGAAGGGCATGGTGAGGGATTAAGAAACCATTCAGAGCGTGTTCTCATGCGAGCTGTCTGTCTCTCATGGACCTGTGGCAGGAATGAAAGAGATTTGGTGCTCTCGGCATAACGATTGACAATCTTGAGCTCGTCCAATGTGAGATCCTCAGTGTAAGCAAGGGAAGGCGGGGAATCAGCCTAAAAATATAGGACAGGCATCTATTGTATACGTACATGCAAGGTTAGATACTTATTGTGTAATCATGCAAATTATAAATTCAAAACTTTACTATAGTTATTATGCAAGTACTGCACTGTACAAACACATGCTAAACATCAACAGATAATATGCATTTAGTCAGAATGTTGTTTTTACTTAATTTGAATAATATATTCATTTTCCAGTGAATTCATTTCTCTTCACAACAAAAAATGTGGACTAATTAAAAATTCTAACTTTTTTCCTTGTTTTTTCACATGTTGGAGAACCTACTATATGCTCTTTTTTTTTTTAGTTAAAACTGTACACAAAATATGCAGAACAAATAATTTTTAACATTAAATCTCCTAAAATATTTTTCTGACTTTCAAATACATTGCTAGTTTTTCTACATTGAACATCTATTCCTAGCCTAATATTATAAAAAATTGAAATCTTTATAAAACATTCTGAAGAGAATGTTTATTTATTACCATTGGAAACTTTCTGTTAAAATACAGCGTAGAACATGTTATTCACAGATCCTTAAAAACATAATAAGCCACTGCAATATATTCAGGTGAAGATCCTGATAATTTCAGTAAAGAGAAAAACACCTGATATAACATATACAATTCTCTGTACATATTTATCTTCTAGTAAAAAAATTAACAGTCTGCGTAATAATCATGGAATGTGATATAACAAATAACAATTCTCTTTACTTAATTTCTCCATGTAAAAACCAAATAACTAGCTACTGAGCAAGGAACTCAATGTAATAAATAATAAATAATGAAATACATGTGCTTCAAAATCCATTGTTTATGTTCATTTCTACTAAGTACCTCTGGTATGTTTTCTTGTGAAGTGTCTGAATTAATGAGTGGGGGGTACTTTCTATGGTTTATGCCCAATTTCCCAAAATGTACCCAGTTGCAATCAACCAATTATACAGTTCTTGTGAAATCTATGTGGATGAGTGATGTATGTTTCTTGTTTTCCAATGGAGAAAGATGGGCAGATGAGAAGTTGGTAATTATGAGGAAGGTAAACAAGTACACTAGAATTTGTTTATTGCATTTCAAAGATGGTAAATGAAAAAAGTTAAATCCAGTGCTTACATTGTTTGCAAACAATAACTGGGATGGAACTGGGAAGATATGACACCTGGGAATGCTCATAATTTTCCAACTACACAAAATTCTGATGTGGAATACATGGACTACAATTACTGACTGTTTGAAGTCAAGGGAGTAATCCTAGCATTAAATGTTATCAGATGATGTAATATCCAGTGTACTACACTGTGAGAGTACAGTTCTTAAAATTTAAAATCTCTACTAATGTAGGATTGTATTCTTAAAAATATAACTTATGTAACGTTCATAGTCACATCAGGTGACATTTCATTTCTTGAAAAATGTAGTCTCTGGCCCAAGCAAAATGATGCTAATCACATTGCAGTTCTTGATCTTTCTTATCTTGTGATCATCAGCATCAATTACTTTTGAATTTAAGGAAGAAGCATTTTCATCACATTTTACCAGGTGTTTCTCTTTCCAAAATTCAGCTGACTTTCTTTTAAATATTCTTTCAATTCTACAATGTTTATAGAACATAACAAACCTATACCAGTGTTTTCCAAACTGTGTATTGCACAGATCAATTAAGTGAGTTAGGGTGTCATCAATGAAAAAAGTTTGGAAATTAATGACCTATACAATTCAACTTTGTTTTGTCATTTTTGAGTTTTGGCCCAACCACATCCTAGCTTGCCTGTATTTTTTAAGCAGCACCTAGCAGATGTAAATGCAAACTATAGATTTCAAAACATTTGTATATTCTATCCAAAATGTCTTAGGTAAAAACCCAAAAACTTAAATAATGAGCAAGAGACTTGATATAATGAATAGCAATTCTCTGTACATAATGTTTCCAGTTAAAAACCCAACAACTTAAGTACTAAACAAGGTACTTTATATAATAAACAGACATTCTCTGCCTATAACATCTTAGGTAAAAAACAACAACAACTTAAACTTCAGTAATAAACAAGACTTTATATAATGAATAAGAATTCTCTGTGTATAACATCTACAGTAAGGAAAGAGAACACTTAAATAATGTATGAGAGACTTCATACAATGATAAGCAATTGTCCTTGTAAATATCAATATCTTCATGTAAAAATACTTACTTAGGAATTAAAAAAGGGACTTAACATAATGATAAAGAATAGTTATTTTCTTTAGACAATATATCCAGGTAAAAACTCAACAACTTTAGTAATAATGGAATTTGTTACAATGAATACTAATTCTCTGTAATTAATATTTCTGGGCAAAAAATGAAACACTTCAGTAATAAACAAGAGACTTTATATATTATTATCAATTCTCTGTATATAATATCTCCACATAAAATCCCACCTTTCAGAAATAAGCAAGGGAGATGCTATACTAAATGGTAATTCTGTGTATTAAATGACTTTGGGTAGAAAAACCTGTTGACAATAGCCATCCCAAAAACAAAATATCATTGGATAAAAAACCTGTTGATTAATGTGATGAACAAGGAGCTTGATATAATCAACAGCAATTCAACAAACAAAATATCACTGGATAAAAAACCTGTTGACTAATGTGATGAACAAGGAGCTTGATATAATCAACAGCAATTCAACAAACAAAATATCACTGGATAAAAAACCTGTTGACTAATGTGATGAACAAGGAGCTTGATATAATCAACAGCAATTCAACAAACAAAATATCTTTGGATAAAAAACCTGTTGGCTTATGTGATGAACAAGGGGCTTTTGATAAGAAAAACCTGATGACTTAAGTCATGAACACGAATGGCAAATCTCTTGGTAACAAATTTGATAGATTATCTGATGATTATCCTATAACAAGTAGCAGTTAAAGAAACTAAAATCACAATATAGACTAAAAAGAACACTCCATTTTGGTGAAGTATAGCATGACTTATTAGTCCACAAATAAAAACAGTTGGTTTAAGATAAACGTTTTTTATTATGGCTCCGTCAGTTTAAAAACTTCTATGCTAGTTATGGTTAATTTACAGTATACAAAATATCACTGATATTTCTAATACCTGAAACTTACATACAATGTCCTAAAAGTAGAAATATCATATTAACAGAAAATCACCCCTATCTTAAATTGTTTATATTTACATTGTTATAATTAAGCTTTACCCCTCCTGTGATTAAAATAACAATGTTAACATTTTGATGTACAAGGCTTTAAAGATCTCATAAATGAAAACCTAATGACTAATGACAGAATTATTTAAGGTCGGTTAGATAAGTTTACTATTTCTCAATAATAAGTAAAGATACTTCCAGAAAATAACATTACTTATCTATTTGGTTATAACTAGTAACATGATCAAGAACACCTACATGTTCAAATAACATTAAGATATGCCTTTGGAACGAAGATAAGGCAAACATTTATTTTTATGGAAAAACTGAATAAATGAAACAACTTTCTAGTGTTAAATGAATTTAAATACCTACTGAGTAACTGGAAATAAATTCAATCTGCCATTAAAAGGCTCTACAGTTGTATCACAAATAGCTGAATTAAGCACTTGCTATTTGCAAGATTCCAAAAAAAGTTATTGTAAATTATTGAAATATTTTGGCAATTCACTTCTATTGTTAATTGAATTTCAAAAGTTTTTAACAACCTCAACTGTCTGTGCTGCATTCAAGTTTGTGTGACTAATGCATGAGCTACTGCATGAACATCCCCTGAATAATGTCATGTTAATGCAAGCTTAACTCTAATGTTGATCTACAAATTAAGGTAGGCATAAGCTTCTTCCTGAAATCAGAAATGTGTGCATAGAAATTACATCTTGAAATGTGATTGAAACTAAAAATAGAAAAAAGCACAAAACACTAACAATTAAAAAGCAGCACTGAACAAGACAAAATATATGAATATGTTCATAGGTTATACAAAAGTAGAAGTAAAAATAAATGTAATTCACATTCTTCTAACAGTAACAGGCTAATTATGGGGTTCTTAAGTTATTTTTTCAATCGCCAATAAAGTAACCTAAAATAATTTAAGTGTGTGAATAATATTGGTATGTTTAATAACATTATACTTTACATCACAACTTTCCAAAGAAATGGTGATATGGGATAATGACCTCATAACACTATACAAGGTAGATTCAAAGATTCAGCAATCTCATGTAATGTTAGGTTCCACAGAGCAAAAACAAATACCTATTGGTGTCATTAAATAAATCAAAGTATTGTACTTTACATCTTAAGAAATATATTAACAAAAATATTATCCGGATAAAGAAAAAATACAGTATTACAATATAAACAATTAGACAATGAGGTTTTGACTTAACATTTGAGCATGGACCTGAATGTACATATACCTCACAGGTTAAACAAAGAAACAAGCAACTTATGTAATCTTACATGTAGGCAATGTCACTGCTTATACCAGCTTAAATTATTGATTGATTGACAGTAAAAACAATAAAAAATTTAACCTTTTCTGGAATGATATACTTTTATTTTCCTGCTCACAATGGAAATACTTAACTAAGTTGTGTGAAACTTAGAACAAACTTACTAAATAGCATCTAGTAAAAGCTTGAAAAAATTTGTGTAAATTTATCTAGTTATCCTATCATTTTCTATGTTGTGAAAAAAAAACACATTCAAAATAGTTCCTTTTGTTTTAGAATTTCAATTTTTTAAACGTTGATTAGAAAGTGTCATCTTATATATCTAATCAGTTTCAACTTGATTGATATCTATTAAACAAACTTATTTTAATACTCTATTTTCCAACTGCAATAGTCTCTGCTTTTGGGTATAGGTCATAAAAAGCATTGTAGAAACTTTCAAAATGGTTATAGTTCAGACTAGGTAACAATATTCTGTTAACAGTATTCTTTGACAAAATCAATCTGTATATAATAAACATGTGAGGAC